TTGGACAAGAGTCCTAGATGATTTGAGATTCTCTGTTTGGATAGAGATAAGACTCTAAGAGGAGTTCATTCTAATCTAAATAAGAGGAGTCCAACATAGATGTTATCCTTATAAAAGATAGAGTCCTATGAAATAAGACTTCTAGGAGACAACAGTACTGCTAGTTATAAAAATAAGACACACTAGTAGGTCGAAGGTATGCTTTTACTTGAGAGTTGTTTACTTGTGCTGATATTTTGTGAGATAAGTTGACTGACTTGATCGTTAGAGTGCCCTTGGGTGGACGAGCCACCGTTGTGTTTGTTGTCTTCTTGTGTGCAAGTGTTGGGCTCTTCTATTCTTCCGTGTGCTCTACGGCTAAATTCCTTAAATCTCGGTAAGGAGATCTAGTTTGGTTGGGAGGTCAAAAATCAACGCCCACGGTTTCTACTTTTCAGACAATATCATAATGGTCTTACCTTTTTTAAAAAAATCTCTCTCTATATATATATATATATTAATTTAAAAAGGTCTGTGCAAAGCATGGACTATTATTACAGTATGTTTAAATTTTGTATTTTGATATTGTTTTAAAAATTAAAATATTGTTTTATGAATTTGAATAGAAAAAATCATTAGATATATGATAGAATTATGTAATGAAACATCAGTAGTGCCCAATTCTTAAGGGCGGTCAAAAATGGGGTGTCTACACATATCGCTACATATTTAATAATTTTTTTAACTACCGATTACATTAAAAAATAAATGACATTGCAAATAAAGACTACCGATTGCATTAAAAAATAAATGACATTGCAAATAAAGACTACCGATTGCATAAAAAAATAAATGACATTGCAAAAAAATACATTATCCCGTAATTATTCATCAGGAGGCATGGGGAAATAGTAATTTGGGCTGCTGACATTTGAGGACCACTTGGCAAATATCTCATTTTTTTGCATTGTGTAATACGCTTTCGTCTGAGGGTCCAAAAGAGAAATGTCCGTAGTCATTATCTCATGTTCTTGTTTTTTGATCTTAAGTTCTTTCATTCCCTGCAGTGCTTGAATCCTTCTTTTTTCTCTTTCATCTTTTTTCTTTTCCTTCTCAGCAAGGTGTTGGTTAAATGTCTCCAATTGTATGCTTATTTTTTGGACTTCAACTTCAACGACTTGATTTCTCCGAAATAATTCTTTTGAAGCTTTCCTACCCATAGGTCTTTTACCCCTTGCAGAGACACTGCCCTCACCAACAGTTGGATTGTTACCAACACTTGGACTGGTGTCATCTTCAAGAGAAATACAGTTATCCGTAGGAGAATCGGGGGCTGAATCAAGAGAAAACGGTATATGTATCCTTGACTTCACCGTGTTCATAGGAGCTTAATCTTGCCACCTGATATTGTTTTGCAAGATTGGCCAACAATGTTCAAAAACAAAATATTTGTTTTCATCTTGATGGTATAATAATTTTGCTTGAAGCATTTGTATCAATAAAATATTAAATAAAAAAAAAATGAAGATGAAATCTTACTATATCAACTTGAGACATCCCACTAGGGTGTAGATTTTCGATTTGCGCTAAACACCCACGAAATTTGTTGCAACGTTTCATGATTACACCCCATCGAGATGAGATAGACACTTACGTTCTTAAGTGATCATTCTGCAATGAACAATAATTTTCAAAAATTCTTCCCCCAAAATGAGCATGAGATTGTGAATTCTCAACAATTGGGTCTTCAGTAATGTGATACAAAGCTCTATAAATTGTCACATCTTCTTGAGTGGCGAATGATTTTTCTCTCTTTATTTTTGATGAACCTTCCATAATGATTGTGTGAAAAAACTAAGAAGAAAATAATTTGTAAAGTTTGGTGTGAAATGAAATTCAGATGAAGAGAAGAGAAAAGAAAAATGAAATTTGAAATGTTTGGTGTGAAATGAAATTGAGATTAAGAGTTTTTATTTATAGAAATACAAAATATTATCGTTTGTAGAAAATGACCATTAATTTATAGTTGTTCTTTGAAAGAGAAAGAAAAAGAGTCGCTGCTCAAACCCATGTGCATTCCAACAAAATTGCACCGTTGGATTATATAATCCAACGGCTCATCTATCTATCTATCTAGAACAATCCATGTGCATTCCAATATCTATCTATCTATCTATCTATCTACCCTCTAGAACAATCATCTCCCAAGTCTCTATGACACCAAGCTCTCTCTCTATCTGTCTCTCTGCTCTCTCTTCATTCCTCTCACCAGTCTTCATCTCTCTCGTCTCCTCTCCTCTCCTCATATCTTCCAAATCAAACGGTAACCAAGTCATTCTTCCTCAAACTCTCTCTCTCTCTCTCTCTCTCTCACAGATACGGAAGCTCAGCTACAGATCTGGAAGCTCCAGATCTGGCGCCGTGGATTTGTATATTTTTTTTCCCGATCTGAAATAGAGAAAGTTTAGATCACCTCAGATCTGACCCACACGCATGAGATGATAGTGGTTTTTGTGCCGGAACGCAGAAGGAAGACCGCGGAGCTGTCGGCTTAGCTCCTCCGGCGAGGCAAAGCTGGGAGTCACCTGGTATTTTTTGCTTAAAATCTGCTTCAGATTTATTGATTATTGCTTGGATTGCTTGAGATTTTTTGAGATTACTTGAAATTTGTTTGAGATTGCTTGAATGTTGTTGTTGTTTTAGTGACATTCTGTTTTAAAAAAAAATTGTTGATTTTTTTTTTTTCAAATGTCAATTGCCAACACTGTTTAAACAAATTGGTGAGTTTTGTTTTGAAAAAATTTCGTGAATTTCTCAAAATGAAAAAATTGATCTGTTTTTGTTTGAGTTTTTCTAGAAAATGATGAGAGAGGGAGGGAGGGAGGAGGGTAGGGGAATGAAGAAAATCAGTTGGTTTTGGGTGCGCTGGCAGATTTGCCATTGTTGTCAAATTTGGCAACAATTTTGACATTTGCCATTTTAACAGCTGCTATATCTCACCATTAGAGAACCCCTTTTTCATCATAGCTGCTATATTATAGCTTTGGCAGTTCCAATGGTTTGCCATTGGAGATGCTCTTAGCTTAGTAATCAAAAGTTAAATTTTAATTTGTTTTGAATCGTATCATTTTTTATATTTTTTATACTATGTTTTTAAAAAAATAATAAAAAAATCAGTTTTTTTAATTTGTTCTACGTGGCTAGAAATTGTCTTGGAGATACATTATAACCAACGGTTCACTATCTCTCTCACAGATGTCCTCCTCTCTCTCTCTCTGTCTTATCCTCATTTCAAATTTTAATCTCCTTCTCTCTGGTTTTGTTTCAGTCTCTCTCTCTCTCTCTCTCTCTCTCTCTCTCTGTCCCTTCTTGGTTTTTACCTATGGCAACTTTGTTGAGATTTGAGTGCAGTGTTTGATCAAATGCCAGGTAGATCGGTGGATGCAACCAGCAAGAAAGAGATCGGTATCCTCTTCAAATTTTTCCTCCCTTTTCTAGGCATATCTAGGGTTTCTCAATTCATTTTTTTTTTTGTTGATTTTTCTTTTTCGACTTTTTTGGTTTTATGCGTGTCTCTTTGTATGCATACACTATGTTATGTAAAATGCCTCACATAGTTCTCTGAAATATTTTTCAAAAATGAGTCTCCAAAATGCCTCAAACTTTTTATTTGGGTTTTCATTGGATGTCTAACATATGCAACACGAGAGTGTAATTTTTTAGGGGGTAATCAAATGGCCTCAATTATATGGGTTTGATTGTGTTTCTCATTTATATTATGTGATTTGTTTCACCGTTCCATTAATCTTTGTTTCTCATTTGGGTTTGATTGCATTTCTCATTTATATTATGTGATTTGTTTCTCATTTATATTGCCTCAATTAAAATCTGTATCTCTATATTTTGTGTGTATCTCTTCATGCATACGCCATGTTCAGTAAAATGCCTCAATTAAAGTAGTTTATTTTCTTTTGGTTAAACCAGCTGCTTATATAATTCTACTTTTTTGTTGTTCAAATAGTGAGTGAATCTATTATAACAGGCCAAGTAAATATAGTGTATGGTGGTAAGGTTTAGCAAAAATAGAGGTATATTCAAATTGGTGATACAAACAATGGGAGTTCGATGTTATTTTTAATAATAAACATTAGGCAATTTTTGGACAAGGGATAATGGAGCTTGCTTACTTATATTTTCTATTCTTTGGAATGACATAGGCACGGATTTATTAAGATTATTTGAAACTTTCATTTGCCTAAGATTAAAATTTTAAAACTTCCACTCCCTCTCTCTCTCTCTCTCTCTCTCTCTGATGCTTTTAATTTTATTTTTCGAGTTGTTAGTCCCCAAAGTCCATCAAGGACCAAGGTTGAGAGCTGCAAGTTTTCTCTATTCCAACTGCTCTCTTCCAGTAAGTCTTTACTTTATTCCCATTCTTAGTAATGTTAAATTAAGTTCCATTTGGGTACTCTCTCTCTCTCTCTCTCTCATGCTTTTGTGTTTTTGTGGGTATGCTTTCTTTCGTGTCTTGGGTTCTGTCAATTGATTTCGTAAACAATTTCATCAATATTTTAACAATGCCTTCATCAATTGATGAGCGGTTCTCTTTTTCCCTTAAAATGAGCTATTTCTTCACTACATACATAGTCGTGGTATGTCAACCTCTTAAGCAATTTTAGTGTTCATATTAATTCAAACGTGCACAATATCAATATCAATATCGTGGCCTAGTTTTTACTACTTTTTTTTTTAATCCAAATTTTGTTTTTTGTTGTGGCAGTGCGTTGGCTACTTCCCATGAGCAAACCAAATGGATCTAAAAGGGTTGGTTCATATTTTGCTTATGGGAGGATTGAATAGTTAGAGCTATTTGAATATTTTATTTTTTTGTTTTTGATTTTTGCAGCTGTTGTCTATAGCATTTCAATGCACCATGTTAACCCATTAAAGGTATAGTCTTTAATAGGATGCTTGGCTTCCATTGGGAATAAAATTGTTCAATCTGTTTTTAGTTTAATGTGTTGAGATATATGTTATTAGAATCATACGATTTGCGATTCGATTCAGTGGGTAATCAATATGAACAGGTTGTATGAGTCGCAAATAGCCATGAATTGTAGGTGAATCGGTAAACCAAATCGGTGAATCGTGAAGTGAATTGATTCGATTTGCTAAAATCAATGTTTGACTTTTTTTTTTAGTTTTTTATTGTTGGAAAAGGGTTCAGACAACCTTTTTAAGGTCTTTAGGATTACTATATGCCATCTTTTGACTTTCTCCCTCCCTCTTTTGTTAGTTGTTCATATCTCTTTATTCCCCTTAACATTATATCCACAAGTTAGTAGAGTTTTGTTAGTTTTATTTATAGATTTATTTATTTTTGCTACTGTTGTTGAAATATATATATATATATATAATTAAGATGAATCTTCCTTTCGAATTCTGCAAACCCTTCTGCTCCGTCATCTATGTTGGACACTCCCACCTTTTATTGTAGTAGTTTTTTTTTTTTCTTTTTGTTTGTTTGTTTGTTTGTTTGTTGTTGTTGTTATTGTTGTTGTTGTTATCCAAGGAATTAGGTTTAAGTATGAAAGATCTTTTCTCCTAAAATCAATGCACAATTTTTTGTTGAGTTGGAGTGTTGTAGAGAAATTATCAATTCATGTAAGGCTGATGTTTTTATTCTTAATGCTTTGTACATGTGACGGAGGCATTGAAATTTGGTGAGGAGAATAGTTCTGAAGGCTCCATCAATAGAGGTAATGAAGATTCCATCCTTTTTTTTGCTTCTATTTTTTATTTTTTGTGCATTCATGTTGTAAGTTGATTATTTAATCTTTTACTCGATTTCCATAGTTCAAAGACCAACTTCCTCATGTCACTTGGAATAAATTACAACCTATTTCCCGTTATTTTAATTAAATTTATTGTTATTCATTCCATTCTAAGGATTTGGGTATAGTTTTGCAATAATTGATGTTCAAAATAGTTGGTTTTACCACTATATAGTTTCTGCTACTACAATGTTCACCTAATGCTTGATAAATTGTTTCTCTATTTGATGTGTTTGATGTGTTTATTAATTCACAGGGAATGGAAGGTGAGGGGAGATTAATTGAATGATCAAACTTTTGGTTGAGGAAAAAGCTCCCCTTTGCTAAACTTTTGATTGGGGTGAGGAAAAAGGTCCCTTTTTCTTGACTGGGTTGAGTTTATGAATTTATCAATTTTTTGGATAATGTTTTCTTTGCAAATTATTCTTATTATTTGTTTTTTGTTTTTGGGAAAGACCAAAAAAATTAGCAATTTTTTGTTTTTTGTTTTTTGTTTGCATTACTTTTAAATAGTTTGAATGCTCTCAATTGGATCTCAGTTGTGAGTTTATTAAATCTTTCTTTTGGGATTGTGGTTTGAAGATTTTTGAAACGGATGCTTCTTGCATTGTGGTGCCAAAGATATCTATGAAGGTTATCAAAGAAAGAGCATTTTTCTTGGTTAGTAAATCTCTCTCTTTTTCCCTCTATATGGATGTGTCTCTAAAACATTTTTTGATATATAGTAGTTTCTCGTGTGAACCCCACATATGTATGGATGCGTAAAATATTTGCTACATAGATTAAAAAATAGAGAGGGGGGTGTGTGGGTGTGGGATGAGGGAGAGTAGAGATAGAGGGAGGCAAAAAGTGCAGATAAATGAATAAAATGGTGCGAGACAAATTGCTTCTTGAAAAGTTATCTACCTAAATGCTGAATTCCATGTCTCTAAAAGATTAACATTCTCAATTTTAGAAATTAAATATATTTGCTGAATCATTAGTGCTTGATGATGGAGGGAGGCATTTATAAACTTTAGTGCTTGATAATGTATTTAAGAGCTAAAATCTAATAATGTGTTTAGAACTTTCAATTAGTGGTTGATGATTTTTGCTTTTGCAACTATTGTAGATAGTGCTTGATGTTTTGAGATTGGTGTAATTCATAGACATGTATGCTTGATTGGAGGGTTAGTTGATTGCCCAAAGAGAGGTGGTTTTGTTGATTGACGTTTAGTTTTTTCTATTTTTTTTTTTACTTTCTATTTGTCTCTCTCTGTAATTGGTTCATTAACTAAGCTTTAGCAAGAGAGAAATGTAATACGAAGAGTTTGAAACTTGAGCTTAGAAAAGTAAAATGAGTGTTGTAACTAACTAATACTGCAATATCACTCAGACTTGAGTGTAATATGTTCATGAGTTTGCTAATCATACATTTACTAATTGATACATTTTTCTTGCTACATTTTGAGCTTCGAGTGGCAGTGTACGATTTTTCTTTCCATGCCTTTTCTTTTTAAACATTACCTATCAATAGTTGACATGAGAGATTATATTGCAATCATTGAGATTATATTCTTTTTGAATTTCAGCCGAAGTTCAAATGAGATTAACCTCCTCAATTAGAACAAGAAAGATTGATAGCTTGGGTAAGTATAACAGTGATGCTATAAGAAATGAACAATTTTTCTCTAAAATTATTTTGTGAATAAATTTTTCATGTACTACATAAAAGATTGGACAGGAGAGGATCAATTCCAACATTATTTCCACCGTGCCTAAACTAGTAGTTGAATAAGGAGAATGTAAAAAACCCATAACTAAAAGGAAACAAACAAATTTCTTTAATAACTTATATCGCATTATCCTAAGCTGTAAATCTCAATAAAACAGGTAAAAGATTAAAAAAAAAAAAACTAATTTAAACATAGTATCATAATCATGTAAACTGATGGAGACCCATCAAACAGTTTACACATGCATACTGTCCCTAATTTAAACATAGTATCATAATCATGTAAACTGATGGAGACCCATCAAACAGTTTACACATGCATACTGTCCACTAGTGCAGTGTTCAAAAGATAATACCATCCATGAAAAACAGAAGAAGTGGGATAGTAATCAAAAGTCAATTTTTAATTTATTTTTAATTGTATCATTTTTTATGTGTTTTTTAAAAAAATAAAAAAAAATAGTTTTTAACCATTAAAATAATAATAATAATACACTCGGCCCATAAATTTAATTCTCAATTTTATTTGGTGAAAGATTTATTAGGCATTCAAATATTTTATCCAAAATGACAAACTTAAACAAGATAATCAAAATGGCCCTCTGTATAACAAAACCCTAACACAGTCGGCGTCTCTCTCTCTCTCTCTCCTCTTTCTCTTTCTCCTCAACCGACGAATCACTACCGTCATCGTCAACACCACCACTACCTACTCTCTCTCTCTCTAAAACACACACGCTCTATATATATCGCGGTGGTGATGGAGGAAGAAACTACGCTTCCGTTGGCTCTTCTCAATGCCAGAGTCGGCCGCCTTGCCGCCACCCCCTCCTGTCGCGGCTGAAGCAACAGCACCGTCATTCGGTCGCAGTTGCTCATCAATCCAAAGCCAAACCCTATACCCTGCTGCTTTCGATCTCAGATCTCCAACGCAAACTTCCTCTTCCGCCTTTGTCGCAAGCCTCTAAAGTTTCCCCGTTGCGGCTGACAAGCGTCGCTGCCTCCTCCTCTTTCCGATGGCGGCTTCAGCCATGGACGCCACAACGGCAACTCTCTGGTCAGTACTCCACTGCGTCCAAACCAGACCCTCTCTCCTCTCTCCTCTCTCCTCTTCATCTTCTGCCACCCCCAATCTGCCGTTGCTATTGATCTGAACAATTCTGGTGTCACCGCTCTCCGTGGATCTTCCTTCTCCGATAAAAGCTATATATACATATATATGTTTGAATCTATATATATACTGCTCTGTTTTTTCTTTGTGAAGTTTTTTTACTTTGAATTTGATCATACTTAAACGATTTCTAGTTCATTTCTTAGCATATTTGAGTACTAGAAGCTCATATTTCTTAGCATATTTGAGTACTAGAAGCTCATATGTGTTTTAATCAAAATTTTTGATTTAATTCTAGTCCAAAGGCTATAGATTTTATATATTTTTTTTCTCATTGATTATATGAAAGTATAATCAAAAAAATTAAACAGATCACTTTTAAAAATTTTGACAAATTGCTATCTTTTCATCAACAACAAATCCTATATGTTCATCAACAACATCACCAAATCATATCTGTTCATATTCATCGTCATCAACAACATAAAAATAAATAAATAAATACAACATATTTGTTGAGCTCATCACCGAATATTATTTGTCTGTCATTATCAACATAACCTCAGACCATATCTTTGAATAGATTTATTTTTTTCTTACATCGTCACTAGTCTTTTTAGCATATTTATTATTTTTTTGTTATTTTTTCCTTTTATTGTAGGATGTGTTTGGCCTTTGAATCTTGTTCAGTTGTTGATTTTAATATAAATGTTTTACATGTTTAAATTAAAAAAAAAAAAAAAAACTTCAGTCTCTTACTCTCTCATCTCTTACTCTCCCAACTGCATCTTCTGTGTAAGACTATTGTCTAGCTAAAATTGTGTCAATATTTGGTGGAGTGAAGATGATGGAGACATTTCAAACCCTCAATCTCTTCCTCTCTCTTCTTCTCCGTCCAAAATTCCAGTCAACATTTTATACCCATTTCATCATCTCTTTGTTTCTCTCTCCACCTGGCTCCTGCAGCCAGTGTAGCATCAGAAAATGTTCAACTACATCTTTTATTGTCTAGCCAAAATTGTGTCAACATTTGGAGGAGTGAAGTTTGGAGTGAAGATGAAAGAATCATTTCAAACCCTTAGTCTCTTTCTCTCTCTTCTTCTCTACTCAAAATTTTAGTCAACATTTCAAACCCATTTCATCATCTCTGTTACTCTCTTTTACTCCCTCTTTGCCTAGCATCAGAAAATTTTCAACTGCATCTTCTGTATTGGACTCTTGTTTAGCCAAAATTGTGTCAACATTTGGAGTGAAGTTTGGAGTGAAGATGAAGGAGAGCAGTCTTCACTTTGTATATGTATATATATGTTGCCCTCCATGCTACTGTTCTCAAACTTGCAATTGTTGTTTCTCTCTCAATGGACGATTTAGGGTCTCAAAAAAGGGTTTGTTCTTATATTTTTGTTTTTCTTTTTCAGATATTTTGTAAATTCCATTGAACTAATAGTAATATTTATGTTTTCTTTTAATATGGTCGAATTTTATACATGAGAAATGGGAAGCGAGGATGCACTGCGTTCAACAACATGCATACTCTCCGTCCTACTCAACTTTCTGTCAATGTTTTCAAGAGGACATCCAACAAATTACACTTTTGGTGATTAAATTTTTAGTCGCCAAAAGTCATATTTTAGTTGCCAAAATGTTTTGCCGACTAAACTTTTTGGTCGCCAACTTTGTCACTAGATGATTGTCGGGAAAGGTATTGGCGATTAAAAATTATTTACTCGAAGTCTTCAATTGGTGACCAAAAATTATTTAGTCACTGAAAGTCTTCAATTGGTGACTAATTTTTTAGTCACCAAAAGTTCATAATAAATTTAACATTATATTTTTAGCGACTAAAATTTTTTGTCACCATAAACTTAACCATTTAGGGCGACCAAACTTTTGGTCGCTACTTTTCTTTTTTATTCATCTTATTTCTTTTGTTTAGTCACCAAAAGTGTTTTTTCTTTCTTTCTTTTTTTTTTTTTTTTTTTTTTTTACTAAATCATTAGTCGCCTAAAGTCTTTTGTTTATGGTTACTAAATATTTAGTCGCCAAAAGATTTGTTTCTATTTAATTCTTTTTTTAGCTACAAACTATTTAGTCGCTAAATATATTTACTCCATTTTCAACTACCAATTGTTTAGTCGTCAAAAACATCATTTCATGTTTTTTTTTTTTAAATCAATTTGTCCACAACTTGTATGTATACCATGCAACCTGTAATAGGTATACAAACAAAACAATACATATATATTATCACCTATTCCAGAATCTGCATCTATTTCACTTACAACCATCTAAACAAAAGAACAACTTTTAATGTCAACATTGCATATAAACCAAGTATATTCCAACTAAAAATAGTAATTTCATACGGAACAAATAATCATACGAGCTACCGGTGACATCCATACACCAACTATATATGAAATCAAACGACTTAAATCAACCTCAACAAGAGCAATCATAATTGTAGCCATCATTATAAAAGCATCCTTAGCATTTACAGTGGGAGTCCCCCATTGCCATGGATATGGAAACCGTATCTTGCATGTTCAGAAGTAATAGAAGCCCGAACAAGTGCAGCACAAAGCCAAAGTTGGCGGGAGAAAATCATTTGTAGTGCTTAAATAATGTTCATGTCCCCCAAGAACATGATATGAAACACAATTCATTTTTTGACGTTAGAATTATGCATGTAAAACCTTGACCAAATGCAGAATGAAGAAAAATAGTGGAAGTTAAATAACGCTTACCAATCAATCGTAGTAACTGGACTTATTTACCTAACATCTTGCAAAATCAAGCAACTACCATGCCCCCACCCATGATCCCTTCATGATCTTCTCTCAACAACACTTCATGGCTGTCCATTACTTTGGGAAGAGCCACTCAGCAATCTCCAGTCATCAAAGAACTTATTTCCACCCCAAACTTGTCACCACAAACCAATGTTCATGATTCACGATCACATGGTTAGACACAGTAAAGTGTAGGTTGATTAGATTTTCTATTCACATGACAATATAAATTTCTTTTCAATTTCAGTCCAGTGGCTTTCATATTAAGTAACTAAGTTGGAACTCAAAACATTACCTTGAAATCCATCCTCTCTATTTCAGTTGGCTGTGCCTCAGCTACATCCTTTCCAAACGATATCATTTTCCCATAATGCACATGTTTTCTTTTATCCAAACACCCTTTTCCATTTTGTCCCATTGTCTCTGTCTCATTGTTCTTTGCTTTCTTTGCAAAACATTTGTACCCTTCTTCAGGTGACCAATCAAAGCCGCCCCAGATAGTGTCCCCACCTTTTGGTATCATTGACATTGTTGAATCCCATGTATGAAAGAAAGCAAAAAAAAGACAGGTTCTTTTGCCGTATGAAAGTGCATATCCTCAATATCAATCCTTATTTATTTCTGACCTAGATAAAATGAGGACACTATATGTTGGCAACTCAAATATATATTAGCTAAACTACAGAGGAGTGTTTGAGAAGTCTAAAATATGGGGTGTCCAAGTAGCATACGGCTAATTAAGGCAATCAATAAAATTTCTCATGACATTATGAACATCTAAACTAGATGATCTCTTCAATCCAGTTATTGTAATAACTACTAGACATTGTCAACAGCTTTCACACGGAAAACCTATACTAACAAGAATTCAAAAGCTCTCCATCTCCCAATTCACCAAAAGAGGCCTATATTTCAATGAGCCACCAAAAGGAGTACCAATGTACTCCATATAAAACGTGCAGTGCCAAATTAGGTATGCATACAACTCCAAAAGTGTGCATGTCCATGGTAATTTGTGTACGCAATTGATCCATACTGAAAATAAATCCTACAAATTATTACGTTTTTTTTCCTTCTCAGGTCATCCAAAGATGAGACACTTGAAATATGTGGCTTACTATTTGAAAATCCCTCACACTCAAAGTTTACTCTTAACTATCAGCTATATTATTTCCCTTTTTCCAAGCACTAAATAATGTAGTTCCTACATTAATATTTCTAAAATTTAAATAGCACCACACGCTGACTTTTCCATCTTTTCCAACATCCAATTCTTGTATTTTCCATTTTCTATATGTTAAATTTCAACATGTTGCTAAAAGTATATAGGACTTCAACGAAATGCAAGCCAGCTTCATGTTCATAACATCAATAGAATCTCACTCAAACCAAATGGAGCACCCGATAAGCCTACCTTCACTATTGTGGAGAGAATATACAACTTGAAGCACTGAATGTCTATGTCTATGATAACAACCATGTTTACCAATAGAAAACAACATTGGGTTCTTAACAAAGCAAAACACAATTTTATGCCAATTCAATATGCAAAAGTAGAGCATACATCACAAAAGATAAAATAAAATATAAAAGAATAATATATTTGAGTAATATAAAGCCCAAGTAGTGAACAAAGTGCCTCAACATGTAATCAAGACTCATTCCAGCTCTCTTTTTGTGCCTTTTGAATCCTGTTAATTCATTCTTGCTAGATTTAACATATAAGGGCATTCAACCAATTTTCTTAATGTGAATGTAGTTAATTTCCCCCAAGTAATTTGTAACTTTGAGCAATTTTCACATCCCAACTCAATCTATTTCTGTTCAATTAGTATCCTAGACTTTCCCCATTGGCCAAAAGTTCACAAAATCTAAATTGTTTACTTTGTGTTTTTCTTAACAATCACCAAGGCTGGGCAACAATTTGATTATTCTGGAGATCAGAATTGAGCTTCGGATTCTGGCATTTGTTTAGCCAATATTGTTTACCTTTGCAAATTTTTATTGGTGCAACCAAATAAAAAAATAAAATAAAATAAAAATAAAAACACACACACACCCTAGTAATTGAAATTCATAATATTCAAATCAATAACATTGCTGTCAAATCACAATTTGGGGCTGGGTCGATTTAAGGTTGGGTTTGTGTTAAAGTGTGCGAATGGAAGAAGACGTAGAGAGAGAGAGAGAGAGAGGGGGGGGGGAGCGAAATAGAGACATACCTCGGGTAAAGTCAATTGTGTATTGATGGAGGTGCGATGGTGGTGCTGTGTGATGGAGGTGATGCTCCTACACCCAACACCGATGGACACAAAGCAAGAGAAACAGAGGAGAGAGAGAGAGAGAGAGAGTCACAGTGAATCGGTGCTTTGGTTGCCAGCAAACGCGAGGAGAGGTGGAGGAGAGCTGTTCCATGGCTGGTGGAGCGGCGGTGAGAGAGAGGGGAGAGGAGCAGCAGAGAGGGAGAGGGAGAGAGATGTTGATGTGTGAGAGAGAGAGAGAGGCACTGGTTTGTTTAGTGTTTGGTTTTGAAACAATATATAAATCCCTCTAATTCTCGACTAATCATTTTGGTCTCTAATTAATTTTATAAATCCCTCCAAAATTTGAAATGTCTCCCTCCAAATATTTTAGTTCTTTGGCAACTAAAAATTTTTTAGTCGCTGAAAATAAATGTCAAAGATAAAAAGTAAATTTTTGTTTTTCATTCAGCGACTACATAATTTTAGTAGCCAAAATACATTTTTGGCTATTAAATACATTTTGGCGATTAAATATTTTTTAGTCGCTGAAAATATATTTTTGCCGACCAAACTTTTGGTTGTTAAAGATAAAAATTAAATTTTTGTTCTTCATTCGGTGACTACATAATTTTAGCAGCCAAAACTAACTATATAGCGACTAAAATATTTTTTTAGTTGCCAATTGTGTGGCATTTTTAGCTACTAAATTTTTTTTTAGTCACTAATAATCAATATACCCTGACTAAAAAAAATTAGTAGCTAAATATTGTATTTTTGCCGACTAAAATTTTCTTAATCACTGAAAATAAATGTCAAAGATAAAAAGTAAATTTTTGTTTTTCATTCGGCAACTACATAATTTTAGTAGCCAAAATTCATTTTTGGCTACTAAATACATTTTGGCGACTAAATATTTTTTAGTTGCTAAAAATACATTTTTGCCGAAATTTTGGTCACCAAAGATAAAAATTGAATTTTTGTTTTTCATTCGGCGACTACATAATTTTAGTAGCCAAAACTAACTATACAGCGACTAAAATATTTTTTCAGTCACTAATTGTGGCATTTTTAGAACCTAAATTTTTTTTAGTCGCCAATAATCAATATACCCCAACTAAAATAAATTAGTAGCTAAATATTATACTTTTGCCGACTAAGATAATTTTTGGTCGCCAATTTCACGACTTTGGCGACTAAATTTCTTTTAGTCGTCAAATTTTGTCGCCAAAAGTGCAATTTGTTGTAGTGATCACCAAAGGCTAAGGAGTTATGATGATCTTTCAATCTTGAAATCTTATTTTCTAAATATACGGAGCAATGTAACGTTATCTGTGATCGAGAGGATACTCGATCTGTTTTTTGTATTGGCGTCCAAGCCTAGAATACGCATATGGAAATATAGTTACGATATGTTGAAGATTATTTCAATGAGATTTAATTTCCGTGTTTTTTTCAGGTTTATGTTTTGCATCTTTTTTTGTGTTCTATGTTTTCAAATATTATTATTATCAATTTAATGATTTTTTTTTTTAAAAAAATTGTTTATCAATACTTGTATTGGTAAATTGGTGATGCCTTGGCAACTTTGTTAAAAAATGAGTGTTATGAAAATCTCTGAATGCTGTGTTTGATTGGGAATTTGGAAAGGGATTTGAAAAAAGAAATGAAAAAGGTGTGAAATGGTGAAAGGTAAAGGGAGTTAGAATCTCTGACAGGAAGCAAGTAAAATTATGTTTCATGACCCAAAACAAATATAGTATGTATATTAATTTAAATTTTTTTTATCTATTTACTATTACTCGTTTAGTTTCCTATCGTTTATGGTTATGTATTTTCATATTTTCGCTCAAGAGCTGATTTGGATCGGGGCTTAAAGAATGATATTAGAGTTTTGAAAACAATGGTGGAACACGTGTCGATTCACAAACCTTCCAACTATCAGGCCTATCCCCGTGCGCTTAGCCTATTTTACCGTTTATGAAATGATGTCCAATTGAAGTCGGGTCAAAAGTTGAGGTATAATTTTTGTTGGTTTTTTCAAATTTTATTTGTTATTGATATTATTTTTTCGTAATTTTCTTATTTGATTATATTTTAATTTTTTGTTAACATGTAGGGATACATTGTACTTTGTGTACAAAAATGCATCGTTTTTTAGTTGCAGCCATAGGCTTTAATTCTTTTTCAAAACCTAGGACTTCGTCGAGGTGAATGTTGCTTTGTTTGATAGTATCATGAATTTTGAACATAGTGTTTGCAGTATATCGGGTTGGAGAACTTATTGTTTAAGTGTCACGAAGCTAGCCAAAGTATTTAATTATAAAAATGCAACCCGATATAATTTTTGAGTATTTAATTTTAGCTTCGTGACACTCAAACAATAAGTTTTCCAACTCAGTATACTAAACATCATGTTCAAAGTTCATGACACTATCAAACAAAGTAACATTCACCTCGGCGAAGTCCTAGGTTTTGAAAAAGAGTTGTGTAACCTATGGTTGCAACTGAAAAACGATGCATTTTTGTACGTGAAGTTGTGTCCCTACATATTAACAAAAAAATAAAATACAATTAAATAAGATAGTTACGAAAAAATAATATGAATAACAAATAAAATTTAAAAAAACTAATTGTACCTCAACTCTTGACCCGACTTCAATTGGGCATCATTACATAGATGGTAAAATAGGCTAAGCGCACGAGGATAGGCTTGATAGTTGGGAGATTTGTGAATTGACACATGTTCCATCATTCTTTTCAAAACTCTGATATCGTTCTTTAAGCCCCAATCCAAATCAGCTCCTGAGCTAAAATATGAAAATATATAACCATAAACAATAGGAAACTAGACAAGTAATAGTAAATGGATAAAAAAATTTAAATTAATATGCCTACCGTATTTGTTTTGGGTCATGAAACATAACTTTACTTGCTCCCCCATCAGCGATTCCAACTCCCTCTACCTTTCACCATTTCACACATTTTTTTCATTTCCTTTTTCAAATCTCTTTCCAAATTTTTAATCAAGCAGAGCCTTGGGAGATTTCCATGGTACTCATTTTTTAACAAAGTTGCCAAGGCATCACCAATTTGCCTATACAAGCATTGAGAACAATTTTGTTTTAAAAAAAAATCATTAAATTGATAAGAATAATATTTGAAAACATAGATCACAAAAAGATGAAAAACATAAACTTGAAAACAGCACGGAAATTAAATCCCATTGAAATAATGTTCGACATATCGTAACTATACTTCCATGTGCGTATTCCAGGCTTGGACGCCAATACAGAAAACAGATCGGATATCCTCTCAGTCACAGACAAAGTTGCATTGCTCCGTATATCCAAGAAATAGGGTTTCAAGATTGAAGGATCATCAAATTGTCGAGCAAAGGATGTCCTCTTGAAAACGTTGACAAAAAGTTGAGTAGGACGATGAGTTTCCCTTTTCTCATATATAACCATACTAAAAAAACATAAATATTAGTTCAATAAAATTTACATAAATATAGAAAAGCGAAAATATAAAAACAAACCCTTCTTTGAGAACCTAAATCCGCCATTAAGAGAGAAGCAATAATTGCAAGTTTGAGAGCAGATGGAGGGCACTGCCCTCTTTCATCTTCACTCTAAACTTCCTCCAAAAGTTTTACACAGAGTCTTACACAGAAGATGCAATTGAAATTTTGAAAATTTTCTGATGCTAGTGTAGCTGCAAGAGCTAGGTGAAGACGGAGCAAGTGAGTTTGAAATGTTGACTGAAATTTTGGGGGTTAGAAGAAGAGAGGAAGAGACTGAGGATTTGAAATGTCTGTTTCGTCTTCGTCGCCGCTGCTATCTCGGACACTACCCATGAATCAATGTGAAAGTAGAAAATCTAAGGGTCCATTTGGTTTAATTTTAGAATTATAATTTGAGTGTGGAGTTGTGTTTTGAATTTTGAGTTTTTGAATTATGATTTGAAAAGAGAAAATTTGTTTGATTATGAGTTTTGAAATTAGTTTTAGGATGATTTGTACTTTTTTTTTTAGAGAGAATGTGAGGAGAGAGGAGACAAAAAAAGTGATTGATTAATTGAGTTTTGAAAATTAAACCTAACGTAAATTATCCCATCTCATTTGCACACATTCCTACAAATATTTATCTGTTCTATAACCCCATACCCAATCACCTCAATCACTTCTCATCTTTATCTCTCTCTCTAAACCAAGCTCATCTTTCTCATCCGCCAACTCCACTACCACCATTGACATCCATTGAAGCTGGTGCTGCCAAAGATTTGGGAATCGCTCCAGATTTATCCATTTTCCATCGACACAATCACAGTGAGAGACTCGCATAGTCTCTGATGTAGAACAAGTAGCTGAAGACTTCTTGGAACAATTAGACCGACGAAAGGCAAGAAAGATACCAAATTAAGAGCAATAGCGCGACACTTTTGGGATGAGCTCGGAATTGTCTCAAATTTGATAGTCTGATCAGAAACGGCATTTTAAATCGAAATCATCGCGCAAGTAGTCGGCGATGATGAATGCTGGATTTTAGCCAAATTCATTTGTTTAATCCCTTCAAATTAGCGATTCTGTCGTTTTAGGAAAGTTTCGTTTGGGAAATAACTTTATTAAAATTTTCTGTTTATTTTCGTGTCTAGCAAGGATTTATTACAAATTATAATTCAATTTTTCTTGAATTTGTTTTTTTTTTTTTTTTTCCCTGTGGATTCGAGGATTTTGTTCGTCTACTAGAACGATATAACGATATCTAGCCTCGTGTGATTTATTCTGATGCGTCAAATGGTATTAGAGCAAGGAGTCACTTGGCTTAATGGCACAAGACAAAGTAGATCATGTAAACCCTATTGGCAGTGATCGTGGGAGTGATCGTGGGGTCGAGGCCCTATGTAGCATATGAGAAACAAGAAGAGCAATTGAACAGAGTGCGCATCGGAGGATTTACCCGAGGTCAGAGAAGGAGTCTGAACCAAAGTTTGAACAACTTCCAGCCAACTATCAACCCAAAAGGCAACAACAACAAGGGTTCGATGAGTACCGAATGAAGATAGATCTTCTCCAGTTCAATGGAAATCTGCATATTGAGGAATCACACGAGACAAGATGGAGCGATTTTTCAGAGATGTTCCAAACTAAAAGGAGCTGGTGCAGTATGGTGGGATCAATTGAAGAAAAATAGGCATCGACAAGGAAGCTGATCAATACTTGTTTCAGGACAAATTTTTACCACCAGATTATGATCAATACTTGTTTTAGTACCAAAATTGCACCCAAGGAAGCTGATCTGTATTTGATTATACAACTGAATTTTGCGAACTTTTAGATCGCAAAATCTGAATGAGACCGAAGGACAGCGTGTTAAAATTAACCATTCGAGAGAAGATGGGGTAATCGATAGTGTGGATTGTGGATGAAGCACATAATATGGCTCTCAAAGCCGTGCTAATGGAGCGCAAGACAACCTATTTTGGATATCATTGGAACTTTCTTGATTTGTCGTTTCCTACTACGGAAAAAGAAAAAGGGGCTGCCCAACCAACAGTCCAGTAAATCAGCAGTACTGCTGGAGGAAACCAGATGACTGGATCAAGTAGCAGGGAGGCACCTTGAAACACAAATCCTTATGCTAAACCAGCAACGGATAAGTGGCAAGCTTGGCCATCACTCTAATGTGTGCCTAGAAAGGACTATTAATTTAGTTGAAGAAGAAGATGAAATTGGGGATGATGAAGACGCAGAATATGAGGGTGATCAGTATGATGGTGCTGAATTCGCCAGAGAAGAGGGAGAACGAGTCAATTGTGTAATTCAAAGGGTTCTATTTTTAAAGGGTTCAAAAACTGAGGACCTCAGTCAACGTCACAGTATTTTTCTCTCTTCTTGTACCATAAATCAAAAGGTGTGTGATTGTGGCTAGACGATTGGTAGCGCACCTGAAGTTGTCTCCTGAACCACACCCCTCTCCTTGCAATATTTGCTGGATCAAAGAAGGACCTGCTATCAAGATAACTGATAATGTTTGCCAATAGAAATAGGTACATGACTAACATCAGTTATGTGTTTAATTGGGGATCTCATAAAATTACTATGGTTGTGAAATCAATGGTACCGAGGCCAAAGAGAACAATCTCACCAATCCCTCAGAAAATTCAACCATTATTGGAGGAATTCCAAGGGCTTACTGCTGATGAGTTACCGGATGAACTTCGACCCATGAGGGACGTTCAGCATTAAATTGATTTCATACCAAGAGGGAGATCCTGCGAGAGAAAGTCAAAGAATTGCTGCAAAAGGGACTTATTTGTGAAAGCCTAAGTCCATGTGCTGTTCTGGCATTATTAACGCCAAAGAAAGATGGAAGGATCAAAGTGGTTTTCAAACCATCAAATTCGAACCTGGGGATGAATGGAAAACAGCGTTCAAGCCTAAGGATGGTTTGTATGGTCATGCCATTCGGCCTTTCCAATGCTCCCAGCACCTTTATGCGAGTTATGTATCAGGTATTACGACCTTTCACTAGGAAATTTGTCATCGTTTGTTTTGATGACATCTTAATCTACAGTAAATCAGAGGACCACATGGCCCATTTACGAAAAGTGTTGACAGCGCTAGAGGTAAGCAAGTTGTAAGTTAACTTTAAGAGTGTAGTTTCCTCACAAGTTCTTGGGTTATGTGGTTAGTTCAGATGGCATTCATGTGGTTCAAGACTGTTAGTGATGTTCAAAGTTTCCATGGGTTGGCTACGTTTGATATGCGTTTCATTCGAAGTTTCAGCACTATTGTGGCACCAATCACAGAGTGCATGAAAAAAGGAAAATTCCTATGGGGTGATGATGCGGAAAAGAGCTTCTTGTTGATCAAGAGAAGTTGTGCACTGCACTAGTGCTGGCTTTGCCCAGTTTTGAGAAGATCTTGGTAGAGTGTGATGCTAGTGGTGTGGGCATTGGGGCCATCCTATCTCAAGAACATAAACCAATGGCCTTTTTTAGCGAAAAATTAAGTGAAGCTCAGCAAAAGTGGAGCCCTTATGACCAAGAATTTTATACAGTGGTTCGAGCTTTGAATCATTGGGAACATTACCTAATACAGAGAGAGTTTGTGTTGTATACTGATCATCAAGCCTTAAAGTTTATCAACAACCAGAAGCACCTGGATAACATGCATGTAAGATGGTCTACTTTCCATAAAAAATTTCCTTTTACTATTCGCGACAAATTAGGGGTTCTAAATTGAGTCACGGATGCCTTGAGTCGACGAGCTAGTTTATTAGTCACGTTGACACATGAGATTGTGGGTTTTGAGTTCCTGAAAGACCTTTATCCAGATGATGATGACTTCAAGGAGATATGGGCAAAGTGTATTCAAAGGCAACCACTGATGCCTATCTATTTCGAGGAAATCGCTTGTGCATTCCTCGTACCTCTTTGTGCTTGGGATCTCCATGGTAGTGGCTTAAGTGGACATTTGGGCAGGGACAAGACTATTACAAGTATGGAAGAACGATATTTCTAGCCTTAGTTGAAGCGAGATATTGGCAATTTTGTGAGGAAGTGCTACATTTGTCAGGTATCCAAAGGGCACTCTCAGAATACTGGCCTGTATATATGCCTCTACCTGTTGCTAACAACATTTGGGAAGACTTGTCGATGGACTTTGTGTTGGGACTCCCTCGTACCCAATGTGGAGTTGATTCTGTGTTCATTGTGGTTGACAGGTTTTCAAAGATCGCGCATTTTCTTCCTTGTTGAAAGACTTCTGACGCCTCGCATGTAGCTCGATTATTCTTTCGAGAAGTAGTTCGTTTGCATTGAGTCCATTACCTCAGATCGTGATGTCAAGTTCCTTAGCAACTTCTGGGTGACTTTATGGAAGAAATTTAACACAACCTTGAATCGTAGTTCAACCTCGCATCCTCAAACAGATGATTAAACATAGGTGAGTAATAGGACTTTGGGCAATTTGGTTCGCAACGTTTGTGGAGACAAGCCAAAGCAATGGGATCTTGTTTTGCCTCAAGCAGAATTTGCATATAATAGCGCAATTCACAGTGCCACAGGAAAGTCACCATTCTCTCTAGTGTATGTCACACCTCCAAAACATGCAGTTGATTTGCTCCGTTTGCCTCAAGGTCCAGGAGTGAGTACTGCCACCGAATCCATGGTCAAAGAAGTACGACAAAATCGGGAGGAAACAAATGCTAAATATAAGGCAGCCACAGACAACCATCGGCGCTCTAAACTATTCAAGGAAGGGGATTTAGCAATGGTGTTTTTGCACAAAGACAGATTTCCGGTGGGCACATACAACAAATTGAAGGCAGAATAAATTTTTGTGTACATTTGTGTAGGTTCCTTTCTCTTCTCATTCTTCAATCCATCAATTTTTCATGTATATGTACATTTGTGTGTGTGTGTGTGTGTGTGGGATCCAAGGTTGTGGGCCATGGATGAACAAGACATCAAACATGGCCCACAAGCCCATTAGCAGCTTACGGCAGTATAAAAAAATACACACGAAAAAAATAAATAAATAAATAAATCCATAACCACAACCACGGATCCCAGCAGCAGCTTACAATAGTACATATTGCTCGATTACAAACAAAACCATCAAAATTTCGTTCAAAACCCATGGAAACAAAAACATCAAATGTTGTATATTGTTCAAAAGTCTATCATCTGCTTGAATTCTTGAGATCATGCCAGAATTCGACAAGCCCCATCCTAGAAAAATTCGTGTATGTTATCTATATTACAAAACATAAAATAAATATATAAAAATTAAAACTCA